TTATTTCCTTTAGTTTGGGGGTGGGGGGTTTTGACCTCAAAAAGTTTCCATCCTACAAAAACGATTTTATTTTTTAATGAAGTCAAAAAAATCTTGGAGTATTTGTAGTTCTATCCAATCATGGACAGAAATAACCGAAAAGGGAAAAAAAAACAGAAAAATGGTTTGGTTCAAGTGTAAATCTGTGCGTCAAATGAGGTGCATTTGTAAACTCTCTTTACACCCACCCAACAACCAACTGCTATGCAATACTACTGTCCGTTTATCAATTTGTATTTAATAGTGAATGTAGTCTGACGCCATGACCAATATTTATCAATTAAGTTTCAGTGGGGGGTAGGGGGGTTTGAAAAAAAATTAAAGGAATTAAGTTTTTTATCCGACATCGATCTTTTGACGTCGTCCCTTAATGAACACCTTTCCACATACATGTACATGTACCAATGTAATGGATTCTATGTCATTTGGACATAAAGATGACACCATCTCATTTGATGTGAGAATTTAACCAGCAAAGTTTATTCTCACACAGAGGGTTGATATTTTTGGCGATACGAATGCTACTCCCACCACTCAACTGTTGAGAAATTTTCCTTGATTAGTGTCGATATAAATATTTCTGAATTGAAAATAAAACAACTCACCTGTTATCAGGACTCTTGGGTTGTCCAATGTTGTTGGTGTGTACAACGTTTTTCTGGTTGTTGACAAACAAGCACAGTGTCGTAGCAGAGCCTGAGAGATTGATCGTAGCATTTTAGTACACGACTGGCTGTGTATCATCTGTAGAGACAGTAGAGTTATTAGTCAAATGGTATTGCATTGGAAGATGCTGAGGATGAGGTGATAAACTTATTAAAGGAAAGGGAGGGGCTGGCTGAGAAAGTATACATCTTTGACAATGTAAAACTGATATTCACGCGAGTTTGATAGAATTTCATTAATTTCCTTTGATAAATATGATCATCCACTTTTATTACATTGGTTCCGATTTCAAACCACCCCAATCTCCAATGGTACGCTGGCATAATGGTTTACTACTGGCATAACTCTAGGCACCGGTAATACAAACTTTTATTACACAATGCAAAAATTTTCATTTATTTTTTGTGTTCTATAGCATTCTATGCATACAAGATATGTGGGAGTGAGGGGCTACGTGCATTTCAACATGTTAGACAGATTTGATTTGAGCTAGAACGATACACAGAAGTAAAAATATTGTCTTTTTGTTTGTTTTTAAATATTTGATATTTCATGTCACGAGGATGAAGAAACTGAAATAAAATATGGGGCCAACGTATGTAGAAAATGGAGTGAAAATGCATGTTTTGTCTGTTTTAGGGTATTTTACTGTTATTTTTTATGGTCAGTGACATACATTTGTATGTTGAAAAGGATATACAGTGTCTTTCTAAGTACAATGTATTTTTTTGATGTCTAAGAGTAATAAACAATTGACAATATTTTCAGTCGGTTTATATAGAGGAAATGTGTTTTCAATGTGGTCAATGGAAACCGCTGCTAAAATTATGGCATTTTACATGTGTGCATATTATTTTACCATTTCCTATTCAAAAAATTAGATTGACAGTGAACCAAAAACGTTCACATACTGTTGATAATACTAAAACAAATAATTATAGACAGATTTTAAAAACACAATATTACTGTCATATACGCTAAAATATGCACACGTCCAAAAACTTGCTAGTAGTATTCTACCTTAAAGTAAATTAATTAATTCTGATATGCATAACAATAAAGTAACAATCATGGTACTTTCCAAGATGGACGATCGCATAACTCATCTCATCAACCAGACTTCAATGTGAACAAAAAAAAAGCGCACCAGATAACAAGATTATGTTTTTATTCTCGTACTGAACACAAGTACAACCATTCACATGAATTCTATAGTAAAACAAACTTGGAGGAAAGCAAGAAATTTAATGTTTATTACATGTTTATTAAATTGATATTCAGATCGGCAAATAATTCAAATAACAGTCCCAAAACAAGATTATAACCCAAACAAAAAATTATTTAAAAATTAATCAGATTGAAATTATGTGAATTTTGAAAACTTACAAACAGAACAATTTTTACCGGTAATTTTAAAAAAATAGTAGCAAGACATGAATCACCTTTTTTATTTTAAATAATTTGGACTCAATTAATTTATTTAAAATTAATCCATTTTCAGACAAACTGTACTATACGTATGTAGTTATATTTAAGGATTTGTCTTGCGCAAAGTGTGAATTTCTAAATATACCTATCCAAACAGCTTAACTGGGGTTAAACACAATACATATACTGTACTAGTATTATCACTATGAGTTCACACATTACTAATTTCCAAATGGGTCATTTTTCAGTCACCATAATCATCAACGTACTGTCGTCATCACAGTGTCCCTCACAAACGACACCTTAAATTTTATAGTCCTACAATACGCAACATTCCCCCTCTATCAAAAAATGGTAGTCTGGCTAGGATGCAGAATTCAGGGTAAACGCAATCCCAGACTGCTAATACACTACTGAACTGGCACGTATGTGAAAGCAGAATCAAAGACAAAATGAATGAGAGGCTACTAAGCTGTAACACTCATTCATACTACAATTTAAAGAAATTTCTTACTTTCTTTGTCAACTCCGCAAACAGTACATGTTAGTAAATAAGTGCCATTAAGCATGGTATGTATATAAAGTCAAAGGTCGACAGATCTTAGCTTTCATAAACATAACTATTCCACAAAAATCCACTGAAAGTCATTATGGCGGTTTCCCCGGAGAACTGGCAACAAAGTACACAGACGGTATGTATACTACTAGACTTTATTTGAACAGGAAATAAATACAATCAATTACCTTGAAGTGGTACTACACAAGTGGTGGACAAAATCTGGTGAGCTAAGTTTTGGTCAGCAAAATCAGGAACAAAGGAATCCTTGTAACCGATAAACAAAATTTTCTCTTGAAACAGGATAAGGGTTGACCATTTGAAATGAAGGGAAATATAACTTTTGTTTACACTTTCTTTTTTACTAGTAAAGCAGTATTTGTATTTTAATTCCATATATATGTATACTCGGGGAGGGGCTTCGACCCACCCTCATTTACCGATAGTTTGGGCACTTACCCGTTTCGAGAGAATTTTGCTCACCATTTATGATGACTCCTCAAATTTTAATAGTGTAGGCGAGCTTCTAACCTGTCTGCATAGTATGCACAATATGGACAAATTTAAACATTTTGGAAATACATTGTAGTTTTGCTGTGATTTACAGCTGAGAAAACCTATAAGTACTACATGTATACATGTACACGATAAACAACTTTAATTTTTTCAGACAAATTTTCGTGAAATACCAAGTCAGTAAAAACCATGGTTTTAATTTTAGTGGATTTGATGTTTTTGAATATTGAGTGTTTTTTAAATTCACTGGGTTTGTGAAGAAAACAGTTACATTTTATTGTTAGACATGAAGTTTGCTGTGTTTTAATTCAGTGCCCTAACTAGAAGTATTTTTGAAATAAATGGAAAAATAAACTTAGTACATGTATATGGAACTCTTTTGAAAGGATTTTAGATTTTATTAGGTTGTTTTATTAAATATTTTTGAAATATTTTTTACAGTAAATAGATGTGACTGACTGGCAGAACTAGATACTGTAGAATACTTTATTTTTGCTGAAGGGATGATTCCGTGAAAATAAAATCCAGCGAATATACTTTTTTTCCTATATTTCACATTGAACTTCATAAATTTCATACAAAACGCCCAAAAAGCCTTTTCAGCAAAAATTAATTCCAGCGAAAATATAGTATTCCACAGTATTATAGGAACACCAAAATGACCTTGATTAGGCCCAAGAACCTGTATTAAATACTACAGTACATGTAAAACCAGATGTGGCACGAGAACATGAATACTAGTAAATCCGCAATATATTTTGAAAATCATTTTTTTTTTATTAATTCATGATGAGAAAACGTTCATTCTGTGGATTACATCCTGACAATGTCAAACAAAAAGAATGACACCATCTGGTATCAGAATTATTTGATTTAGAAAAAGTGCCACGCAATTCAATGATTTTCGCATTGTCAGCAGAATATTAGGATGTCAGCATTGTCCCCACCAGAGTGTAATTTTCTTCACTACACTCCTAACATACAATCTACTGCTACAAGAGACCACAGTTTTGCAATGATGGATGTCTGATGATGGGGTTAGTTTCAACATGGATGGTTTCAAAAATAAATAAACAATTAACTTGACATAATGTGGACCAAGAAGGTTCAATGGGCCACCAATAACCAAATATTAACTCTAAGACCCAGAATGCATTGCTGCAGGTTATGTGTTTCTCAAGTTTGGGGTATTTTTATATTTTGTAGTTCAGAATTATTGTTCAATTGCTCCAATAATAATCAGTTGAAATTTTAAAACATCCTAGTGAATTAGTGCAAATACAAAATGTATATTCATTCCACGTCTGGATATATTCATTCCACGTCTGGATATATTCATTCCATGTCTGGATATATTCATTCCACGTCTGGATATATTCATTCCACGTCTGGATATATTCATTCCGTGTCTGGATATATTTATTCCACGTCTGGATATATTCATTCCACGTCTGGATATATTCATTCCACGTCTGGATATATTCATTCCACGTCTGGATATATTCATTCCACGTCTGGATATATTCATTCCACGTCTGGATGTATTCATTCCATGTCTGGATATATTCATTCCATGTCTAGATATATTCATTCCATGTCTGGATATATTCATTTCATGTCTGGATATATTCATTTCATGTCTGGATATATTCATTCCATGTCTGGATATATTCATTCCATGTCTGGATATATTCATTCCATGTCTGGATGTATTCATTTCATGTCTGGATGTATTCATTTCATGTCTGGATATATTCATTCCATGTCTGGATATATTCATTCCATGTCTGGATATATTCATTCCATGTCTGGATATATTCATTCCATGTCTGGATGTATTCATTTCATGTCTGGATATATTCATTCCATGTCTGGATATATTCATTCCATGTCTGGATATATTCATTCCATGTCTGGATATATTCATTCCATGTCTGGATATATTCATTCCATGTCTGGATATATTCATTCCATGTCTGGCTATATTCATTCCACGTCTGGATATATTCATTCCACGTCTGGATATATTCATTCCACGTCTGGATATATTCATTCCACGTCTGGATCACAGGGGCTTGACGATCTATTCGTCTCAATGCGTGGACGTCTATGGGGCCGTGCGACTATGTCCCGGTACAGGACCTTACCCTTGCTCAAAATAATAGAAATTATGGAATTAAAACAGTTTAGTAATGTAAAGCAAGCATATGTTATTAAATTTAATCATCACGCTCCGAAACCATGAAAATCACTAATAC